TCCTTTCATAATTGTGATTGAAGTGAAAGCTTGCAAGACAAACTGGTTTTTGATTCAAACACTGGTACACATTTCTTTTTATAGTGTTAAGTAATACAGGATCTGTGTATTAACCCTTACAATTTCATGTGCATTTCTCTTTGGGGAAAAAAAATTATTTCATTGTTATACAATCCCCCTCTGCCCCAGTCCACTTTACGATGCAGCTCTTATTCTGGACAATTGTCATGCAACAATACCTAATCATTCATTCCTTTAAAGCAATATTTTCCCCTCATCTGTTTCAATGTAGTGTAGACTATTTATCCCCTCTTGAATGGAAATTTTAAAAAAATTGAGATAAAAAAATCAAAATAATTTCATGTGTAATTATTTAAAAATAAAATTTTAACTTAAAAAGATATAGTAATCATAAACATTTCTTCCATTTTTATTCCATGCCTGACCCTCACTACCCCATCCGTTGCTGTTGATTTGAATGTCAAAGCATTGTGACTCAACAAGGCACTGCAGAATTGCACCATGTGGTTTCTTGAAAGGGAGGAGCCGTGATGATATATGGTGGACCGGATTGTGCATTGGTCTGTTAACCAAAAGGTTAAGTGCTTTAAACCCACAAGCCTCTCTGCAGCAAGCAGGCAAGATAGTCTGTTTCGGTAAAGCTGAAAGGGCCCTAAGGCCAAGTCCTACTCTATCCTATGTTGTTGTTGATACGTGCTGTTGAGTATGCCTCATAGTGACCCTATGAACAACACATCTGAACGCTGGCCTATCTTGTGACTGCTTCACGCTTGCTAACACACCAGAACTCATTGTGGCAGTCACTGTGTAAATCCACCTCATCGAGGGTCTTCCTCTCCTTTGCCAACCCTTCAACCCAAGGACTAGCCTCCCCTAGCAACATGTCCAAAGTATGTGAGGTGAAGCCACATCATTCTTGCCTCCAAAGAGCACTCTGGCTACATCCACTCCAAGACATATTTGTTTGTTCTTTTGGCCATCCATGGGACGTTCACTGCTCTTCTCCAATACCACAACTCAAAGACATCAACTCTTCTTCTGGTCTTGACTCACTGTCCAGCTCTCAGATGCACAGCAAGTGATTAGAAAGACTATGGCCTGAATCAGATGCACCTTAGTCCTCAAACTGACATCATTACTCCTCAATAATTTGGAGAATTTCCTAACTTGTAGACTTTCCCAGTGCTAGGAATCTTGATTTCTTGACCGCTGGTACCAAGTGTGCTGATTGTGGCTCCAAGTAAGATGAAGTTATTAACAGTTTCAATCTCTTCTCCATCCATCATGATGTTGCCTATCAGTCCAGGGTTAAGAATCTTTGTTTCCTTGACACTGAGATACAATCCATACTGAAGGCTGCATTCTTTGATCTTCTGCAACAAGTGCTTAAAATCCTCTTCTTTTTCAGCAAGTAAGGTTGTGTTATCTACACAACACAGGTTATTGATGAGTTTCCCTCCAATCCTGATGCTACATTACACTTCATTGAGTCTAGCTTCTCCTATAGAATTGTTATGATTGGAATCACCAGTTGTTTTTTTTTTCTCCTGCAAAACTGTCAGTGGGTTTGGATGACCAACCTTTTGGTTAGCAGCCAAGCTGTTGCACCATCAGTTCTCTCTCCTTGACATCCAACCTAAATGCAAAATAGGAGACCCAGGCTTGAGCCAGTTCCCTCTCTTGGTGGCTGCTCTCCACTTCCAATGAATTCAGTCAGTACATGCCTTCACAGTCTTCTAGCCTCACAACGCTAAGTTCTAATCACTGTTAGCAGCCTTATCCCCATGATGCAGTCACTACGGAAGCCCAAGTGGACCACTGAAGGCTGCTGCTAGGACACTATGTGATCCTTATGTCCAAGAAAAGGGGTGGCCCTGTGCTGGGGTAATAAGCAAAAAAAGAGGGCTTCATTTGCACAGTGGCGTCAGAAAGGCATGTGTGTGGAACTCAGAAGACCCCCCAGAGCTGCCTCTTTGAATTTCCCGCCCCATTGCATCTTTAATTAATTCAGTGCCATCAAGCTGGTACCTACGTGAGCTGAGGCTCCTACAGGCTTTAGGAGCCTGTGAATTGCCTAGGAAATGGATCTCTTTGTCCTGATGAGCAGTTGGTGGATTCGAACCACCCATGAGGAGCCACCCTTAGGTCAGCAGTTCAACTCCCTAGGACGATGCCACCAGAGCTCCCTTAGACAAGCACAAACAACCCCCAAACGAAAAGGGCCCAGCCACCTCAGGCAGGAGGAGGGGGCGGGTGAACATTGAGACCAGGTTAGGGGACTGAGGGCTGAAAGTGGATCCCTGAACTCCCCAAAGCACCGGGCAGTGCAGGGAGAGCTCAGCAGTGTTGTGGAGTCACTGAGACCACCGCAATAAAGCCACTATGACACTAAGAGTCACCCAAATACTTGGGTTTCCCAGTGCACGTTCAGTTTAGTTTCTACACCACATGTAGTCTATTAGCCCTGGAGCACATCTGAACGTACTGGGCTGCTGACTGAAAGGTTGATGGCTCAAAGCCAGCCCCTGGAGTCAAGAATTACAAGCTCAGGACAGTCATGAGTCCAAACAGATGCAACAGTAGTGGTGGGTTTGCGGTTGGGGTTTGGTATGTAGTCTTATGTGAAGGGACGCTGGTGGCCCATTGGTAAGAAGCTGCACTGCCATCCCAAGGGCAGGCGTTTTGAATCCTAGAAGCCGCTCTGTGAGAGCAGGATGGACAATCTACTCCTGTGTGATTAATTGCCTCTGAAAACCTGCCGGAGGGTCAGCTATGGGTCGGTGCCGACTTGATGGTGCACAACAACAACAACAACAGTGTTCAGTGAGAATTATGACTTTTATGAGCAAGGATGAAATCTCAGGAGTGTCACCAAAACGTGACATAGAAATGACGCGAGTGTAAGTGAACTAACCCCGTCCCAGGAGGACAAATACTGTGTAAGACCATTACTGTAGAAGTATACAAAGATCCAAGCTGGGAGGGTGGGAGCAGCGGGTGAGAATGGGTGGGGGCTGGGGAGTGAAGATGGGTGGGGGGTGCAGGGTGGGGGGTGAGGATGGGTGGAATGGGGTGGGAGTGTGAGGATGGGTGGGGGGGTGGAGTGGGGTAACTAGGATGGGGTGAGACCGGCGAGGCGGGGTGGGTCGCTGGAGTGGGGTGGGGTGAGGATGGAGTGGGATGAGGATGGGGAGTAATGATGGCGGGGGAGGTGATGATGGAAGGAAGGAGGTGGGATCAGGATGGGCAAGGGTTGGTGGTTAATCACTGGGTCGCACAATTTGATGGGCAGAGGGAAATGGGAAAAATCCGGTGCAGAAAAGAATGTGTACAAACTTGGTTAAATAAACCAGGATACAATAAAAATTTTATGTAAGAAATGAAGCGAGCGCACGCTGCCCAAACATGGTGCCTGAGGCTCGCTCCCTGCCAGCCGAGACAACCTGTAAAAACAGCAAAAACCCACGCCAAACAAGCACATGCGGCCGCCCTTAGCTGTCACCCTTGGCCGCCCCTCCCACGTGTGCCCTCGGGGTCTTACCGGTCCCCTCAGCGCCCTCGAAGCCGGGGGTCCCCCCTGGAGGATCAAAGAGCTGGAGCCCCAGGGAAACCGCACGGGGGGGGGGTCTTTCTGGAGCGGGGACCCGCGGGTGGGCGCCATGGTCTCCTCGGCTAGCCGGCTGTTCCGCTCAGGCCGCAGGATCGAGCCCACCTGAAGCGCATTTCCAGCCTCGTTCTGCTCCACTGGCTGGAGCGCATCACGTGGTGTGGCACGTGGCCGCCTGCCAGGAAGCCCGGGGTTTGCTCGCTGGGCTGCAGGCTGCAGGCTGGGACCTATGGGAAAGGCCCCCACACAGTCTTTAGTCCTTAAACCTGCCAAGCTCCACCTGCATTAGTTACACTAAACCACCTGCCCAGGAGGTTGGGGACTCAAGGCCAAAGGCGAGCTCTGGGTGCCCAGTGGTTAGAAGCTGCACTGCCACACCCATGTTTATCGCAGCTTTGTTCACAATAGCAAAGGAGTTGGAAACAACCTAAGTGCCCATAAACAAACGAATGGATAGAGAAGCAGTGGTATATTCACTCAATGGAATACTACGCTGCATTGAAAAACAAGGAACTCATGCAGTATTATTCAAAATGGGTGACTCTGGAGGACATTATGCTGAGTGAAGTATCTCAGTCACAAAA